TACAACATAGTTAACCCAAACATACATGATATAATAAATAAATAATTTTGAAAAAGTAGTATTTTTGTAAAGATTATAAAAATATGGCATTTTATAAAGTGATACTTGAAAAGTGGTATTTTTTGAAATTTCTCAATTTTGAATGTATTATTGATTGCTTTCGGAATGATAAGAGTACCAAAAATTTTTTTGATAACAATATAATTTAAGTTAATTATAAAAGCTGAATTGAGTAATCGACTATAATAACATAGTTAATGATATTGGAATTCGAATAAATTTAGTGGACGACCAAAGTAGTTTTAGAGTGTTTTTTATCTCCCAATTTTCTCATCGACTTCGTATGTGTATATATGTTTTCATAATTTATGTAAACTATATTAAAGTTATTTAACAATGTCATCATATAACTTTGAATGTTTAAATTCGTTTATGTAATTACCTAATTTTTTTTATATTAAAATGGGACAATTGCAAAAATACCATTTTTAGTGTGTACATTTGCAAAAATGCAATTTAGAAATGTTAATTTGTAAAAATGACACTAATTATAGATTTTTTAAAACCTAAATCTTAAAATTATAAACTCCAAAAAATGTTTTGTCCCCTAAAATCCCATAAACCCTCAAATCTAAATTCTAATACAACATAGTTAAGTCAAACATAAATGATATAATGAATTTTTTTTCGAAAAAGTGGTATTGCAAAGAATTTGAACAGGAGGCATTTTTGAAAAATGACACTTGAAAAGTGACATTTTAAAAAATTTCTCTATAAAAATTTGTATTTTATTAACAAAATTTTAAAAATATTTATATACATAATAAATATGTTTACTACATAGAATTGTTTTCTCTTCATACATTGTCTTTGTAAATGCATGATTGTTTATTCTGAAAATTTCAAAATTTTAAAAACATATCAAAGGTCACCATTACTGTATTATATTCAATCTCTCAATTATARTGGACGTATYKCAAGGGTTTGAACAATRTGTTTCAAAGATCTAGATTGCATATTCCTAAGATTTTGCTCGAAGATTTTACCCTAATAAATTCTAATCAATCGAAAGAATTCGTAATCAAGGTATATATATTGCATTTTTATTTGTCTTTGTATTGTTTTTTTGCTATTTTTTTTATCTAAATATAACAATTTTATAACTCACAAGTATCGAAGAAC